TTTATGTTTAGCAAATCATTGATTTTTTTGTTCACATGGGAGGAGTGGGGGGAGGAAGGCATGCATATACTGCAACATTTTTCAATTATTTATATACATTTCTCCTATATCTGTATATATTAATTTTATTTATTTATTGTTGTATGCACACCTTTTTATAATTTTAAACATCTTAGTATTTGTCATTAGAAAGTAGGAATTAGTTTAGGAAGAGATAGAAAAATATAAGAGAATTGTAGAAGAGGAGAAAAGAGAGAATGAAATAAAATAAATGGAAATTGAATGTAAAGAGGAAACAAAAAATAAATGGAGTGAAATGAAAAAAAAATGTTTACTATACTCATATATATTCGTACTGTGTATTTGTATATTAATTGTAATATGTAATGAAAATAATTTTATGAAAATAAAGTGTTTCTCTATCTTCATTAATGTTTCATTACAGGATACATATTACTTACAGCACAATACTGAAGTTGTTTGACCGTTCAATAAATGTAAATGTAGTTTTCAAATATCAAATTATTAAGTCGATGTATCGAATAAAACATCGATATTTCAAATGTGTCTGGTCTCGATATTTTTAATCGTTGAAAAGAGCACGAATTTCAAAATTGAACAAAAACATATCGAAATATTCATAAAAAAACCTATCGATATTTTGGATCGACATTGTCCAGTGTATCCACTTTAAAAGAAGGAGATGAGGATTGACATATAATTGAAAATTTAGTTTTGTATTAGCATTAATAGCAAAACTCCAATATATATATATATTGGTAATTAATTAAAAATAAAAAACATATTAACAGTAAGTTGACAAAAAATTAATTAAAACAAATAATAATTAAATTTATCAAATTAAATAAGATGAAAGCAATGATGAATAATTTATTAAAAAAACTAAATACATTATTTCCTAATAACTAAATACTGAAAATATTTATTACTATGAATTAGGAAAAATGAAGAAAATCTCAAGTGAATTAATAATGACTGGAATCTGTCAACTTTTTATGATAAAATAAAATCTTATTACCAGATAGAAAATTAAAAAAACAAAAACATTATTTCTCAGGCACGGTGTTTTAAAGTACTATCATTTTAATAAGCTCACCAGTTAAGTAGCTTTAGTTTTAATAATTTTCCATTTTATTTTTTATATCGAACAAAAATACATATTTAATTCATCCCATATCAAGAAAAAACTAATAATATAAGTTTTGAAACAGTTAATCGTAGTCATTTTTTTTTTTTTTTGAAAACGCGGATACTTTTTGGTGACTGGATAGAAAATCATATACTTTCTTTAGACAAATTGAGGTGAATCTCAAAATGTTTCTTAACAAACCTCAACTTAATTAATATGGATTTGAAGCTTATTGAACGATGTAGTTTTTTCTAAAGGTTGAGTAAACGTAGTACAGTTTAATAGTACAGTATTACACCAAGTTGAAGTTTCTCTATCCATCCAACCGCCGTCTGTACTTCCTTGCAAACTTTCTATAGCAAGCCATCAGAACTCAGCGACCTTCCTATATTTTTCACAACCTACAATTCTATTCAATCCCGTCCCCGTAGATCCCGTACTCCCGACCTCTATCCACCTCCTCACCGAACTTTTGCGTTTGATAAATCCTTAATAATTCAAGCCGTCTCCTTCTGGAGTACTATCCCTCCCGATATCCGACATACACAATCAGTTTTCTCATTTAAATCTCTCCTTTTTAACCACCTACTCCTTTCCCAACCGGATTGATCACGAAATGTAAATAAGAGAACTTTTTAAATTTTCCTAAGAAATTATATCGTTAACTTATATTATTTTATTTTCTCCTGTTTGTTATATATATATATATATATATATATATATATATATATATATATATATATATATATATATATATATATATATATCAGTAATGTTTTGTATTTTTTTTTTTTTTGTTTTTGTCTTCTTCCAATATTTTAACTTTAATGAGATTTGTAAATATATAAATTAATGTATGGCCACACAGACATCTCTTCTGTAACTATAATTTGTCCTAAAGGGATAACAGTCTCAGGATAATAAAAAAGTATATTCATTTCATCTCATTACAGTTAAAGGGTGATAAAAAAAAATCAAAATTTATTCATGACTCTTTTTAAACGAAACTGAGCTGTGTCCGCCAATTTGTCCCAAATTATCCGTCCAATAGTCTTTTTTTTTTTTTTTTTTTTTTTTTTTTGTTTATTTAGTGAAATTTACAACTGTATACAAATACAACAAGTAAATATGCGCAAATATAAATAATGGCATGTACAGGCTTGAAGAGTTACTACCCAGTGGTAGCACTCTCTAAATAATTTTAAGCAAGAAGATCACGAGGCCATCTCCTTTTCAGACGCCTAGGAGGATTATCAGGAATCGAGAAAGAAGCAAGAGTGGAAACAAGCGGATTTGGATGGGACTGAAGTTTATCATGAAAGGATTGATATCTGGCTCGAGCTAAATCAGCGACATATGGTACATTAAGGTCTTTATGAATGGTTTTATTTGTGACAAAGTATGGAGCATTAAGGATTTTACGGAGGATTTTGGATTGTAAGGATTGGATACGATAGGAATTCGATGGTTTGGTGGAGCCCCAAAGCTCAACTCCGTATGTCCATATAGGTCTTATTATAGTTATGTAGATAAGTCTTTTGTAATTAATAGAAAGTTTGGAGCGTTTGTCTAGTAAGTGTTGGAGCAGTCGGAAACGTCGAGCAGTTTCTTGTCGTTTCAGTCTAGTATGAGGATTCCAAGTAAGACGTTTATCCATCAATAGTCTTTAAATAGTTTTAACAATGGAAAATTCTACTTTCGTTTAAAGTGAATTTTATCTAGTTTATTATGGAGTAAATTATTAGTTATTAGTTAGTTAAATCAAATATTTTTTACGTTATCGCCTTCTATTCAACAAAAACTGTGACTCGCTTAAAAAAAAAAAACAAATCTAATTTACTACTTTCAGCTGGAAGTTGGGCAATTGTTAATATGAACTTTTTTGTATACCTCGATGTCTACTATCGCCCTTTTAAAAATTTTCGTCTACTTATGGAACACCCTGTATAGAAATATTGATAAGTCTGTATTTTTACATAATGACAGTAGAATTAAACTATTCTTATTTGTTTAAATATTTTGAGAAATTACATATTTTTATTATATCTTGGGATAGAACAACGACCTATTCTTAATATACACATATACAGGATACACATACACCTACACCGTGTTTAAAAAACAAAACTACAAAAAAAAAAGACCTGCCATCTTAGCGAAACACAAATACCTCAGTTCCACTCAGAATGCAAATTAAGTACATTTCAGATAAAATGTATTATGTTTTTCGTAACAAAGGTTTTTTTTTTATTCCCTGCTAGGGACTAATTTTTTGCTCCGATATAATCTGTCCGCGTGAGTTGGCAATAAAACCCAGGCACTTGCTCTTGAATTAGAGAGTTATTTAAATGCATGCTTTTCCTAGCCACTCTTATACAAGAGCCGCTCTTATTTCCTCACTAAATGGAGGAAATCATTCACTCAATCTAAGGTCTCATTTTTGTTGAATAGTATTTAAAGAATTAGGAAATTTTGATTTCGATCATACATTAATTATTAGGTATATGCTGATCATATTTTAGTCGTATGAAATTTTTATGGTCGTTGATTTTACAAGCTGCTTATGCGGGGGCTATCCATAATTAACTGGATTGCTGAAGCAGCCCCTAATAGAATTCATTACGATTGATAAATAAGGCAAGAAGATTGTCAACTATTTCAAATTTATTTTTTCGAAATCACACTTTCAATGGGTATTATCTGGGCCACGTCAAAGGATAGGCTATACTTACCTGAAGACAATAAAAGAGAGATTCATATTTATTTTATACACCTGCTTCTAACTATCTTTTCCAATCTTCACGCCGTGAAGCAACTTTTTTATACACAGAATAAATCCTACTTTGACAAAATCTAAGTTTCTAAAAACCAACAGAAACAGAATATTCACATTTGGATCACTAGTGAGCAATACTCGTCCCAATGCTCTGAGCCCAACATTTGTCCTAAAATTAATAAAACAACATAAATAAATCTTAATAGAATGAACAAATGAAAATTTAGTTCATGTAGCACATACCTTTGAAAATAGCACATGTCAAAATTAAAACTTCTTATCTTTAGAGGTAAATAATGATAAAAAGCAATAAATGAGGAAAAGAAAATATGTACTTCAGATAAGCCATTACAATAGTTCTTACCAATACAACTAACAATATCTATTTCTATAAATATGAAGTCACATGCTAAAGAAGAAAATCCCTGGATACTTGGAGGAATAAAGATAACATTTTATTGTGACTAGGTGGAATACTAGATATATTTAAACCATTACTAGAAGTACTGTTTAAATAAGAGAAAACAAGGGTATCTGTACAATGAAAAATAATTTCTCTTAATTTCTCTCTTGAGTATTGCTCACTCAATCCGATATGCTCACTAAAAACGAAACACATACTTCTAACAATATTACTAATAATATTGCACGTTTGCTCAAGTTGTCTTCTTTCTTAATTCTTTCTGCTTTATCATCCGTTCATTGCCAAAGCTCACTAAGAGCGTTTCTGTGAATTTCGATGGAAAGAAAAAGTTATCAATTATTACCGGAATAATTTATAAAATTATTTCCGTTGAAAATTCGGATTCAAAAATCTTTACGATCGCAATACTTTCTATTACTATGTATTCATTAGTATGATTCAAATAAAAGGTTAAAATGATTTTTTAAAAGTTACTACATAGTAGTTTGTACCTCTTTCTTCAGCACAACGAATTGTTAATAAGTATTCTTAGAATTATTTAATTTATTTAATTTCGTAATTAAAATAATAATCATAATGTATCCCCATAAGATAATTTCATACTATATCTGATAAACTTCTAATATATATGTTTTGTTTTTATTGTTTAGAGATGCGATCAGCGAGAGCGTTAAAGATGAAGAAGAGAAGTACGAAGCCCTGAGGAATGTCACCGATCTTCTCGCCAGAGGGTTTCCTTCAGACTTTGTGTTCCCCGTCTTAGGGGAAACGGATCCCGTGAACTACCACAGGTTGTGGGAGTTATGGAAACAATGGCTGCCAGACGAAGCAAAACGTTCTTTTAACGAAGGTATGATTATGATACATAATAGGAAAAATATATAATACAATTCTGAAAGAAAAAAAACGAAACCACTCAGAAGCAAGATATGATCACTACTAGTCCGTGGTATAGACCCCTTTTTATTAAATTCCTAACATCCGCCTAAAACTTCATAAATAGATTCATCTCATCATAACTTACAAATATTTTATTTACGAAAATTCTCGGAATTGGGGCGTTTTCAATCTGGGGTTCGGCAAACTTTGTCTATTTAATCAGTTACTAAAAACTCGTAAATACCCACTTGCTTTCCATTCGAATCGTAAGATGGCTTGAGCACAAAGGCGAGAAAAAATTTGGTCTTAAAAAATATTGGGTCGTTTTGCGTGACCTCCACCTCCAAATTGTCCAAAGAAAGAGGTTATATAGACCAACCGACCTAGTATGTGTAAGTATTGCGATCGTGAAAATTTGAGAATCTAAGTTTTCAACGAAAATACACGTTTTCATGTACTCTGAATCAAAATAACTGAGTCCCGCGAAATTGTCTGTGTGTGTGGGTGTGTGTGAACTAGTGTTGGTCAAATGCGAGACCGAGACGAGTCTTATTGCATTAGAGATATCTCTGTAGTTTTGTAGATAGGAGAAACCTAACTAAGCCCGAATGAAAAATTATATTGGTTATACCAATTATTAACATATAGTAACTAAGATTGTCAAGTATTAATAACTATTTTGCCTTAATTTTTATTTAAAAATATATTGTTTTTACCAGTCCAGATCTTGCTCTTGCAACAGTTAGGCAGCCTTGGTCTCGGTCTTGCAGTTTGCTAGACCGATTATGGGCAACACTATTGTAACAACGTAGCTCAAAAACAAAAAGTCTTTAAAACTGAAATTGCGTATTTAAGGTTCCTATAAGTCTGGGATATTACAGCAAATTTTTCATCAAAATCGGCAAACCGGAAGTGGTACTTTATATAACCGATTTGACACATTTTTACAATTTTCTCAAAAACGACTCTAATGATTTTGATTAAACTCGCTAGGTCATTGTATTATTAAGTAGAGTTTAATTAAAGGTAGGTTTTATCTTCACCGATGCAACCTGACAGTATATAAATGACAATTTTTCAATATGCCTTCACCCAACTTAAGGGTTTAAACTTACCCCAGTTTTTCAGATATATAAGGAAGAATATTTGTACATATTATAAGCTAGCATAATTTTTTTTAATAGGTCATTTTCTAAATAATATTTGAGGTTGTTTAAAAATCGGAACTTTTTGCCCCGCCATCCTCCACTATACTTGTTGCAGAGCTTCAATTTGCCTGTTTTCCATCACCTGGAAAGTATTATAACAAATTGAATATTTAATAGTTGACCGTTGCATTTCAAAGGAAGGAGATGGTCCGGGGTGATGGTCATAAATAGGCTAAATAGTGGTAAAACTATTTTATAATAGATTATTTTATGTAACTTCCACACTCTATCTTTTTGTATCTTGTCCGTTCTAGCCTTGAAGAAGACCTGCAAAGTAGGATCGAAACTTTGGCTTTTAATAAAATAGTTTTACCATTAGTTAGCCTATTTATGACCACCACTCCAGACTATCTCCTTCCTTTACTGTAACAACCATAAATGCACTTATTATTTATAAAAAAAAAGTAAAAATAATGATTGTGTATTTATTATCCGAAGTGATAATGAAAATGTGTTTTTTGCCCTGATCTGAATAATAGGAATATATCTTGATGGATTAGTAATCAACTAAATGTTTCTAATCCTAAATATTTTCGTTTTCATAAACATAATACTATCAATAAGAAGGCTTATTTATTTGTTGAGATAAAGATATAAGTGATCACTACTACAAATAGGTAACATATTTATGGTGATTATACCATGTACTTTAAATATTTCCTATTTTCGTAATCGGAAAAGCCAAATTTAAGCCGCAGTGGCACTCTGCCAGTTTAAGGCTCAATAAAATCACAAATGGATCCATTAGGTGGAAGGCTTAGGAAAAACGGGTCGGAAAAACATCGGTGGAATGCGACCGCTTTCAAACCGCCGACGCTCGGATACTTTTAATACTTAGTTTGGAATTCTCCGTTTTCCCCACCCTTCCTATATATATTTTCTTCCTCTAAATCCTTATCAGCTGTCTCAAGAAATTAGCTTATGTGCGTTTTTCTAGGTTAGTTATCAAAATGAAGCCGATTAAGGAATGATACCACTGACAACAGAGTTTAATTTTAACAGAAGGATACATACATTTATTGGTAATGAATAATGAATTAATTATACCACAAATTATTATGGTTTAAAAATCCCTTGATTAAAATCGTTTTACTGACTTTAAGAAAAGGTTATTCAAACTGAGTGGTGTGAATTCGTCAGAAGTGTCGCGGCAATGACATTTAAATCTAGTTTTTAATATTGTTAATATAAATTCTAAAAATTACCAATTTTTTAATATTTAATAATGTAATTAAAATTAAAATCATTCAAATTTAAGAAAATATGTGGTAAAATTATATTTAGTTCTAATATATTGTACAAAATGATGGCAAATTCCAAAAAAATTCTTAAATTAAATATTTAATTGTATGGTACGGCAATTATATACAGTAATTATAGGTTACTATGAGATGAAGCTATTTACGAAGTTTCAGGTGGATGTTAATAATTTGATTAAAAGTTGATAAAAGAAAAATGGAGAAAAAGCGGAAAATGTTTATTTAGATTGAAAATGAGTTTCCGGAAACACTAGTCAGAAGCTATGCGTATAATACATCGTTGGGAAGCGGAGAATTTAAATAAAACACTGTCTAATATAGAAACTTGTAAAAAGTAATGGAGAGTGACGAAACATTATAGATAATAATTTGTGTAATCAAATATTATTCAACAGAAATAACATGTTTTCAATTTGAAAATTTGATTAATTTTCCCTTTGTGATATCCAAACATTATTCACTTAAAATTAGTGTAACAAGTTTTGACCTATCTGTGGTAGGCAATTAAAATCTCGTAATTTCATTTCAGTAAACTTTACAATGTAAAATGATAGTGTAGTAACTAATAGGCGTACAGGTGTAGTAACTACTAGGTGTACCCATAATCATTTATAGGTTAAGTGTAGAGATATACTTTCAAATCTCTCTTGGGGCATATAAATATATATATATAGCTCACAGACTGGAGTTATGTGGTTTACCAAAAAGATGGAGTAACGAGGTTTCTTATTGTCTACCGTAGATATAAATAATAGGGTTTTTGTTATATTAGTCGTCTTAATATTTTGTTACCTGTAAGGTTTAAAATATTAAAAGTGCACTTCAAAAATGTTATAATTGCCTAACATTGCCAGGATATAATTTCCATTTAAATTAAAGAGGTAAGTGAAAGTCGTGTGTTGCGCGCACCAGATTTTTTTATTTATACTATTGAAAATAATTTTAAAACGAATTTTTCCAGCATTAAGTGTACATTTTTCGTATTAAATATAGACATTTGTCAGAATATAAATACACAGTAATGGCTATAGACATTGAAGCATGTAGCACCCCAGAGGAATGACGTCATCTCCAAATCCTCCTCCCCAAAAAAAAAACTATTTTACAGTTTTGTTTTATGTAATATTTGAATTTTATTTCATTCAATATTACTCTAATTTACTTCCTTTAATAATATCCTGAAATAAGTTATTCTCATAGGTTTTGTAATTTTGTTTTATTCAAAACATTTGACGGGCCAAACATGCCCCTGGCTATTACCCTATGACTGGCTCTATAAATACATATACAGTTTGCCCGAAGCTAAAACATAAACTCTTGTAGATCAAAGCTCATTGGGGAAACTGATATTGGTTCCAAGTTAATTCAACCCGTTCCACCCTTAGGCCATCATGTAGTTACAGTTTTATTAAATTTGATTAACCTCGAATATTAATTAACTGATCATATTGAACCTAAAAGCGGGCATCAAACGTAAACCAACGGAACCCACGACATGCTCAGTGATTGAAATAATATAACATCTATGTTTGAATACAATAGCAAAGATTGAAGAGATATTGGCCAGTTGTAGATCACATTGCACCAGTAAGATTTATAATTAAATAGTCTACATCCCTTTTTTGGCTCTTACTAGAGATGGATTTTTACAAATCAGATATCAAATGAAAGAAATTCTATGGAATAAAAAAGAAGTTCATATGAAATAAAACTACAAGAGAGCTGATTGAAAAATATAAGTGATATATAAGGACCGGATTTATAAGTATACACATTTTTTTTATTATTACTTCACAAGTTTTACTCATTTTTGATGGGTGTGATTAGATCTAATGGCCACACAATACAATTTTAAGTATTTGCAGCGTGTTTATATAAGACTTCCACTAACTCCCAAACGATCCTTTTAAATTTAATTGGGGCCTTTAGTTTACATTAATAACATTACTGCTTATGAATTCCGCTTGCTATGTTCGCTCAAAAGAAACAACCACACCCTGTACGTATCTTTTTCGATTGAGGTGGGGGTCTTACCATACGGTTTTGATCACCTCCGTCTGCTATAGGAAGATGTTAATATATATATATATATATATATATATATATATATATATATATATATATATATATATATATATATATATATATATATATATATATATATATATATATATAGTGATGATGTAAACTTAAGCCAAGCATAAAAACATAGCAACATTTTGAGTAAAGAAGTATTATATTTTTTGATATTATTTATTTTTATTAATTTTTAATAAAATAAAATTTAAAAAAATACATATTGCCTCAATCAAAGGCATTGAGTATTTGAGATATAAGAAACTCATTCATACAATATAAACAATTACAAAAATAATAGAAATTATAACAAAGATAAGAAAAAGAAAGGTTATTAAAACAGATTAAATAAAATATGATACAACACAAATTTAAAAAAATGAATAAAGAAAAAAAGAAAAGAAAACATTCATGCTTATTTACAATAT